AGGACAGTCTACAGAAGGTTTAGAAGGTAGAACAGAACAGAGGTTCTATAGCGGTTAGAAAGGAAAGAGAAGGTACTCTGTGGAAACATGGTTCCTTATGAGGATTTACAGCCTCTCTGAAGATATGCTGGATTACTATGGTGGTAGTATTTTTATTTAAAATGTAATTTTTTACTGAAGTTTATGAAATCAGTCTGTTTACTCTCTCCCTTTTCAAGTAACCCTAGTGCTGTGTAATTCCCATCAACCAGGAAAAATATTTTACCAACAAAAGCTGGACTTTTCATTATTGAGAAGATAGGAACTGAATTCATTGGCTTATTTTGTTTGTTTGATTCCAATTGCAGTATTGTCTGTTTGAAATATTGCTCTGATGTCGATTTTTCAAAACTTTTCTAATTTACTTTTTCCTCTGAATTCATTGGTTTTGAAGTTTTTTCAAAAAACCAAACAAGTAGAGAGATTGTGACAAACACCTTCAGCCCCCCTTTTTTTCCACTTGCTCAGTTCTTTTTCCCACCCTTGCTCCCCAGAGACAACCTGTTACCATAAGTTCAGTGGGCATCCCTCCAGCGCAGTGTGTGTGAAATATATAAATGTATGTATAAATATGTAAGTAAATTCTATGGAAGTCATTTTTTTCATTTATTATTGTTTTTCAACATCTGTTCATCTGAATACATACAGATCTAAGTCCCTCATTTTAGCTGTTTTATTTTTATTTCACTGTAAGACTGTTTCACAGTTTCCCCAAATCCCTTTGATGGATATATAAATTGTTTTCATTTTTTTGCCATTAAAAACAAAACTCCAGTGAACAAAAGCCTCATACATATCCCTTATGGTTTTCTCCTCCTCTCACTTCTTTTTCTCCTTCTTTTGGTTGTTGCTTTGGTGTTTTGATTCTGTTCTAAGTTTCTTTCTATGTGAATTCTTCCACTTGGTCTAGCACTTTGAAGAGAAGGAGGGATCATTTGAGGAGAGGGAGTAATGAGGAGAATCTTCCACAACTTGGAATGCAAATCTTTTTTTTTAAATTAAACTTATTGGGGTTACATTGGTTAATAGGATGTGGATTTCTATGTTACAAGATCTGCATATTGCACTGTGTGCCCACCACCCAACAGTCTTCTGTTACTAGGGCCAGAGGCTCTGAAAATTTCTTTTCCTATGGATTCATTTTGGAATATGATAAATTTGGCAACCCTTGCATGTTAATATTTTGTGATTTTATTGTCTCATATCCAATAGCTGTTTTTCATAGATGTCTATAATTATCGCTTCCCCTTCTCCCCCTATGTTTTCTTTTACTGCTTTTTTTTTTAACTCCTATAATATTCCCTGCCCACTAAATGTAGGCCTAGCTTCAATCCAGTTCATGCAATTCTTTTTAAAAAATATATATTTTTATTGATTTCAGAGAGGAAGGGAGAGGGAGAGAGATAGAAACATCAGTGATGAGAGAGAATCATTGATTGGCTGCCTCCTGCATGCCCCCTACTGGAGATCAAGCCCGCAACCCGGGTATGTGCCCTTGACTGGAATCAAACCTGGGACCCTTCAAGTCTGCAGGCTGATATTCTATCCACTGAGCCAAACCAGCTCGGGCAAGCTCATGCACTTCTTTTGTCACCTTGTAAGTTCAGCATGATCCAAACATAGTCGATATTTATGAAGAGTTCTTGGAGTGTTCTTATCCAAATTAAGCATTTAAAAAATATAAACCTTCACCTTAGATTAGAATTATTACAGGTAAATTTTAATCTGGGACCATATGTTTCAATGACCAGTGTTTTTCCATTTATAATTTTTTTCTGGAGTCTTTAATCCACTATACTTTTATTCATTATTGTGAGGCTGAGTATATTTTTAATTTTTATATTCCATATTTCCCCTCCCACTTAAAGGTGGATTCTATTCAGAGCTTTGAGCAGTTGGAATGCTGAAGTGTTACAAATGAAAACTGTTACTCTTCTCTAATAATACACTCTGCCAGCTGCAAGTATTTGAGTAGGAATTCCTTAACTAGTTTGGGCAGCCACCTCATATATGAATATATATTAATGGTAGATTCACCTCATGAATATATCAACAATCTTAAGAATTTGAGAAGAATTTATGTGCTACATATTTTTAAAAACAATTGATAAAACTTAAAATGGAAATCTTTTTTTAATATATTTTATTGATTTTTTACAGAGAGGAAGGGAAAAGGATAGAGTCAGAAACATCAATGAGAGAGAAACATCGATCAGCTGCCTCCTGCACACTCCCCACTGGGGATGTGCCCACAACCAAGGTACATGCCCCTGACCGGAATTGAACCTGGGACTCCCGAGTCCGCAGGCCGACGCTCTATCCACTGAGCCAAACCGGTTAGGGTGGAAATCTTAGTAATAAATATAATTGTACAACATGAGATGGCTGTGCATTTTTTCTAAGATTTGTTATCTTAGGAGATGGTTCAGGTCACAGGTTATTCTGGTTGGAAAGTAACCTTTGGATCTAGGCTTACTCCGAATTTAACTTGTCACCCTGTAGACTTTCTTTAGTGAATTGTCCTCCTCATGCCATTGTAATCACTGTTTGAATGGAGTCCCTTACCTGCACTTTATCACCTCAGTCCCACATTTTATGCTGTGTAGAAATGTTCCTATGTTAAATATTTCTGTAGAAAAAAAATTATATTCTTGTATGGAATACTAACACCATGGAGTTTTGTTTTCCCTTCTACTCTGGAAACTCATAAAAATTTAGTTCTTAAGTCAAAAATAATTTTTTTTCTAACTATAGTTTCCTTCTTGGGATGTTTCATCTAGATATACAACAAGAGCCTTTATTGTTTCTGTGTTAGTAAAAATATAATGTGAAGAATTTCTTGAAATTATATATTATTTGCAAAATTTTTAAAAACCTTTTTTTCCTGATTATAAAAGTAAAGCATGCTTTATTTTTTTTTTTTGCTTTTTTTTTCATTTGTCGAATATAGAGAACAACATAGACTGATGAACAGGGACAGATCCAAAGACAGAGAAACAGCGATCAGACTATTAATCCCCAGAGGGAAAGTAGGGGAGGTGGGGGTAAGGGGAAGAGATCAACCAAAGGACTTGTATGTGTGCATATAAGCCAAACCAATGGACATGGACAGCAGGGGGATGAGAGCATGAGTGGGGCCGGGGGAGGATGGGGACTAATGGGCGGGATGAGGATACATTTGTAATACCTTAACTAATAAAGAATTTAAAGATTAAAAAAAACAAACAGAAAAACAACAAAAAGTATAGGTAAAAAGAAGCAATCACTCAGTCTTCATGCTGTATCTTGTCAGGCAGTTCCCACAGTGATTATGCCATTGTGTACCTGCACCAGCAATTCAGGGGAGTCCTTGTGTCTTTGGGCTCTCCCAGCATTGCTATTAAAACAGGCACTGCACATTTGTTAGGGGAAATATAATTTCATTTATATCAACTTTATATAAATCTTACCTGTCACTCATTAATATTAATAAGAACACAAATCTGAAACTTGTTAGTAAAACAAACTTTATTCTTTATTTAAAAATATATATTTTTATTGATTTCAGAAAGGAAGGAAGAGGGAGAGAGATAGAAACATCCATGATGGGAGAGAATCATGGATCGGCTGCTTCCTGCAAGTCCCCCACTGGGGATTGAGCCCACAACCCGAGCATGTGCCCTTGACCAGAAGCGAACCTGGGACCTTTCAGTTCACAGGCCGATGCTCCATCCACTGAGCCAGACCAGCTAGGGCTATTATTAATTTTGGCATATAGAAAGAGGAAACTTTGTTTTTTGGAGTGTATGGAATTATTGTTTAATCTTTCAAGGATAGAAATCCAAAAGAAAAGGAAATTAATTCAATCATTTATTAAGTAAGTATTTATTTCTGGTCTTCCACGTGCCGTACACTGACGGGTGCAGCAGCAAAATAGACAAGAGTCTACCTTCTTACATTCCAACTACAATAAGGTAGATGACTTCAAGTGCTATAGAAAAAAATAATGGAGGAGTACTATTGGGGCTATAGGGGTAAGGATTACATGTTTAAGTGTGTCAGGGTAGGCCTCACAGAATTGGTGACAATTACAGAAAGACCCAACAATGGTGAGGGTGTGTGCCAAAAGAATATCTCAGGGAAGAGTCGTAGAGAAAGGCCAAGTACAAAGCCCTGAGACAGGAACGAGCCTATTCTGTTTGAGGAACAAGAGCAAAGAAGGGCAGTGTGGCTGAAACATAGTGAGCTCAGGAGAATGTAATCGGAGATGAGGCAGGAGAGGAAATGATGTCCAGACTGTGCTGGGCTTTAAGCCATTGTCAGGACTTTGGCTCTTACTCAGAGTGAGATGGGAAGTCATTGGAGGTTTCAGACCACAATTAAACTAAAATGGTAAAACCAAATTATACTTGTATCCTGGCTTTGCTTTTTCAGAGGCTTTTGTTTATTTCTTATAATACTTCGGGTATTCAGTAATGGCTCCTGGTAGGTAGCCATACATACATAGATTTAAATGTTTGTGTCTGTATTGAAAATTTTCTTGAAATACAGATCTTAGGTGTTATTACATATAAACTCAAAGAAAGCAAGTATAGTAAGAAAGCCTGTTTGTAGGTATTCATTTCTGGGTGGCCCTGCTCTGTTACCCAGTTCTCATCCTAAATTGTCTTGGGGGGTGGGGAATCAAGGGTGTATTGTGCAAGACATTTATTTACTCTTAGACATTGGAAGAAATAAATAGGTATTATTTATAATAAGTATTAAATAAATATACTTAGTAAGTAAATATGTAAATAAAATTTAAACACACACATAATTGACCCTTAAACAATGCAGGGTTTAGGGGCACCAATTCCCCCATGCAGTTGAAAATCCATGTGTACCTTTGACTTCCCCAAATTAAACTAATAGGCTACTGTTGACTGGAGGCCTTACCGATAATAGTCAGTGGATACATATGTTGCATGTTATGTATGTATATACTGTATTACATTATAGTAAGCAAGAGAAAAAATGTTAAGAAAACCACAGAGGGAAAAAAACTGTAGTATTTTTGAAAAAACTCTGTTCATAAGTGGACCCATGCAATTCAAAACCGTGTTGTTCAAGGGTCAACTGTATGTACACTCTTGGATTGCTTTAACATATGTTTTGAAAATTTTAATTATGGAACATAATAGAGAAATAACAAAACAACTGTATAAAGATTAATTATAAAAAAGTACCTATATAACCAGCAATGGGACCTAGAAATATATCATTGCTACACCCTGAAGAAGCTTGCTGTGTGCCTCTCCTAGCTTGTAAACCATACTTTTGCTCAGAGGTATGACTAGTCCAACATTTATGATAATTACTAGTGACCTGTTAGGCGAAATCACGCAAGACCCGGGATATCCACCCCCTCGCCCCCGTGCCATGGGACGCCCTGAGTCCTGGAGTGCCACCCCGGTGCCCTGCCTCTGGTCCGCATGCAGCGGCCGTGGGGCTGTGGAAACCCTGGCAGAAGCAGTGAAAAGTGGCCGCTGGGACCTGCCAGCCCCGCCCCCACTGTGTGTGCCGCCATCTTGTGACAGCGTTACAGCATGAGAGTCAATTTGCATATTACCTCTTTATAATATAGGATATCCTTACTTTGTGATGTTACTATCTAGGTTTCATTGCAAACCATATAGCTTAATTTTGTTTGCTTTTGAACTTTATATACACGGAATAATACTCTAAGTGTTCTTTTGTGTCTTCTTTCAGACCAAATAGTATGTTTGTAACTTTCATCCATGTCATTATGTAGAACTGTAGTTTCATTTCATTGCCATATGGCATCATATTATTTGAACATACCCCAACTTACATAGCCATTCTAGGGTTGATGATGTTTTTGGCCGTTATGAATACTACTACTATGAACTTTTTTTTTTTCATGTGTGCTGATGGAAATGTGCAAGAGGAGTTTCTCTGGGCCGTATTTGAGAGTGAAATTGCTGGATCTTTAGTTTTATTAGATAACAAACCATTTTTCCAAAGTGGTTGTACTAATTTGTCCTACCAGGAGTGTGAAGAGTGAACATTTTCTGTGTTTTTTGGGGGATATGTGTATGTTTTGGAACCACTACATCTCAAATAATGCCTTACACAGTTGGTGTTCAGTAAATATTAATTAAATGAATTCAGCCTGACTCTTGCTACTCTTAAATCTTCTGATCATGATTGTCCTATTTTAACATCAGTAGTTTAAGACAATTTTTGGTGAGGGCTCATTCCATTACTGATAGTAACCAGATTTAGTTTACCAAAATAAGAGAAATTCATTTGTACCAGTGTAACAGTTAAAGATAATGTTTACATTTTCAGGAAAAGAACTCATTCCATTACTGATAGTAACCAGATTTGGTTTACCAAAATAAGAGAAATTCATTTGTACCTGTGTAAGTTAAAGATAATGTTTACATTTTCAGGAAAAG